CAGCCACCTCCCATGTACCAGGATTAAGAGGCTGCAGATCCATCAATTGCCAGTTATCCACTCCCTAACACACACACACACACACACACACACACACACACACACACACACAATCATGGTTTCCACTATTTCAGTGATGGTGGTGGCTAATCAGGAACAGAAACTAAAAGGGTGTTATTAACAGCGAGTCCCAACACCTACCCAACCTCCACACCGGTGTTCTCGGCTAACCAGTGATTTGCTTTTCCCCAAACATGCCTGCACCCATACCCACCTCCCTACCCTCCTGCTCCTGCACCCTCTTTGATTGGAGTAGGGTGAGGCACCAAGTCTCTCCCCTTACTCGCTTATTCCTCACCTTGATGGGGGCTGACCTGGCCCAGCATGCCCCCCTCCTGGGAGTCCAGGTGTGACCAGGAATGAATTTCAGACGTGTTTTGTTTTGCTACCTCCCTCCTGTTTTCTACTGTTCCATTCACCTCCCACAAAGTACAAGGTCCATACCAGGTTTGTTTGCCTTGCCCTAGCTCTGGGAGAATTCCAGTCTGGTCTCAGCCAAGGGAGCTCAGAGCTCTAAAGGACATTCCTGTCCTGGTCCCCTACCCTTCTGTACCTCTGTACCTTCTGTACAAACACCGCCAGAAAGATTGATTAGATGAATACTTGAATTTTTTCACCAGTGGGAATGGTTTTACTTGGTGTCATAAGTGACCTTTGCCTCAGGAACTGGACTTGGCTTTTTTCTCTCTTGCCCCATTCCCCACAATGATCTTCCAACCAGTGAAGCGTTCTGCCTTTAGAAATACTTATCATGAAGGAGGGAGGGTAGAAAAACGAGTGATGAATGAGGTGGCACTGCTTTTCCAATGCATCAGCTGGAAGCTGCTGGCAACTCTCCTGGCTCAGTACATGCATTTGTTTCCCTGGTGCCCACACCCCGCCTGCCTCCACTGACAGCTCCCAGCTCTGTGGCATTTTTGCTTTATATGTGTTAAGTGTGATTTCTGCCACATCTAAGAGACGAAGCATCCTATTTTTTTTTTCCCCCACTTGCACAAGTCACAGCTGCACTGGGGATCAGCACACACTTGAGGCCACAGGGCAAGTTCCCGACAATGCCATTTGCAGCTGGGGTGCTCACTGGGAAAATAGAGATGCAGAAGAGTAAACAGAAATTGCTTAGTCAGCAACTGTCCCACCCACCCCCCCCACAAGAGGTGAATGTAAATAGTCTGGTACTGGGGGGGTGGGTAGGGGCAGTCCCCCAGCATGGGGCCTCCCCCAGATGCCACCTCCTAGGAAGAAGGTTTGTGGAGGCACCAGCATTTGTGTTCTATGTCGGTAGGGAGGGTGTCCCCTATGTTGGAACTATGTGGCCTTAGCTCTAGAAAAACACACTTGCTGACTCGGGGCAGAATTAATATCAATTGAATTTATTACAAGTTACTAAGCTCCAAGGCACATTACAGTGTTCTGTTAACTACAGAAATGTATAAAGGACAAACAGAGCAGATTCCCCATGTCTAGCATTTCGCTCTACTGTTCAAAAGCATCCGTGCATCAATAAAGCAAAAACAAAACAACACATGAAGATCCAACACATTCAGGTCAGTAGAAACAAACCAAAACATTTTCCCTCACAAACTTGCAACAGAAAACACCCCGCCCCCCCAACACCCCCCCTTTACCATTTTGCAAACAAAACAGAAAAACAAAAAACAAAACAGAACAAAATGGAACAAAATAAAGTGAAGACTTCAACTCTTGGGGCTGTTTAGAAAGAAGCTTTCACCATTTTATAGCATCTTTTTTTTTTTTAGGCAGCAACACTGGCCTTGGCAAAAAAAAAAAAAAAAAAGTCATTTTCTTTTGTGTTTTTTTTTCCTTTCAGAGAGTGCATAACATTTACAAAAATACACACCAGCAGCAGTCGTTGCTAAGGGCTATTAATTCTGTACCTAGGCAAACACTCTGCCACCAAATAAATGCTAACGAAATGATGCAAATGACCCAACCAATATTATACTGCTTAACACAAACCAGCTTATCCTTCAAATGAAGAAGTTACATACCTTTTGTTTCAAAATATAGAAACATACGACGAAAATAATGTCTATACATAAGACTAACTTTTTGCAGTTTGTTATATTCACAATTCTACATCTTGGGGGTGAGGGGAGGGAGGGTCGCTGGGGGTGGGGGAGGGGCCCTCTGGATCGGAGAGAAGCTGGTCAGGGGCAGAGGAGGTGGCGGTCTTGTGGTTCAAGGGTCTCTCTCCTTTTTCACTTTAACATCTCCAGCTAAGATCGTCGCGATTTCGCCCTGCATGAAGGCCCAAGGTACATTCGACCCAACCAGAGGGCATTTCTCTCCGCTGGGGCAGTACACCTCGCCGGTGGCCCCCTGGGCCTTGATACTCTCTCTAGAGCAAGGGAAACAGAATTTGTGGCTGGGGACGGATGGGCACTGAACGAAATGCGTGTCCTCCAAACGTTCGTGGCAAATGGTACAGCAGAGGGGCCCGCTGTTGGCCATAGGGGAATCCGGAATGTTTTGGGGGTGCACTTGGTCCATGCCCGGGTGGGTGCTAGGCGGCGGGGGCGCCACCTGTAAATTCAGGTCCCCGTTCCGCGATGCCAAGCGGCGCTGCCCGGGCACGGAGGCCGGTGACACCGGGCTGCTGCTGTTGCGCCTCGCGGACGCAGTGGTGGAGTGCACGGAACTGCCGTCCTTGGGCGAGTGCGCCGTGCCCAGAGTGTCTGCCACCGACATGAGGGCGGCCATGGGGGACGGCCCGTTCTGAGGGGCTGACTCGGGCGGGGTGGTCCGGTTGGAGTGGGGTCCCAGGGGCGGAGGCGGTGGGGGCGGACCCCCCGCGGCATGCCCCGGAGCCGCAAAGCCCCCGGCCGACATGGTGAGCTTTAGGGCCTCGCTCTGGTTCGCCATCCACTGCTGCCTCTGCTGCTCCTCGCCCAGTTTTAGGGCGCCCTCGGCGGAGTCCGGGGGCTCGGGGGACGCCTTCCTCTTGCGAAGACTGGCGGCTGTGCCTCTGCCCGAAGGGGTGGCAGGCGGCAGGGTCCCAGTGCCCGGGGGCGCGCTGGGGGCGCGGCTTAGACTCACCAGCGCCGTGGGCAGCATGGGGCAGCTGGCGTCCAGGTAGGGCTGGGGCAGCATGTCGGCGCCGGGCACGCCCTCCTTGAAGAAGCGCACGGCCTCAGGCAGCAGGTCTCCAAGCAGGCGCCAGTCCCCAGAGCCGTGCTTCTTCTCGTACTCCAGATACTTGAAGCCGGAGGAGAGACCCCGGCCGAAGTCCTTCATACAGTCCTGGTACATCTGCTTGGCCACACCAGATGCGCTGGAGTACACGTTGCCTGAGCCCGTGGGGTACTCAATGAACAGCTTCAACTCGTAGTCCATGCCGGGCTTGGAGACAGCGTCGAAGGCAAAGACGCGGCCCAGCAGCGAGTGGTCCTTCTTGAAGCGCACCTCGTAGGGCGTGCAGCCAGCCAGCGTGAGCAGCGTGTCGCGGACCATCTTGGGCTTGTTGGCCCACTCCTCCGCGCGGTTGCGCAGGCTCTCGCTCAGCTCGGCCAGGGCCTCGGCGTTCCGCTGCTTCTCCTTCAGCTCGCGCTCCTGGTCTGTGCTCGAGACCGAGCCGGGCCTTTTGCCACCAGCACCCACAGCCACCTCCGCCACCGACGACGAGGTCGAAGACGACGCCGAGGACGACGCAGCTGATACGCCCGGAGCGCCCCCAAGACAAGCGGGGCCCCCGGGCGCCCCTGGGGGCGCGGGCGTCGGGGGCCCACGACTGCCCAGGCCGTGGGGCGGCGGTGGGGGCAGCACGGCGGCACTGGCCGGGCCGTTAAGTAGAGTCTGCGGCAGCAGGTTGGGGGGCACCGTGAGCTGGGGGCCTCCACCACCCCCCGGGTTGGGCAGCCCCGTCACTAGCCCACCATGCGTCCCGCGCCGAGATGCCACCGACGCCGCGGCTGAAGAGGAGTTGGGGCTCTGCCGGTTCAGCTCCGGGGGTCCCTCCTCCGGTGTCGGCTTGGGGAAGCCATTGGGGCCCCCCAGGCCGTTGGGCAGCCGCGCGGCGTGGCTGCTGCTTCCCAAGCTCACCGGCGGTGGCGGGTACTCGAAGCGGCTGCGCTGCTCCACCGCGGCGGCCGCGGCGGCGGCGGCGGCGGCGGCAGCGCTCAGGCCATAGCGCTCCAGGCCGGACGGGGCCGCCAGCACAGCAGGCTTGCTGGAACCATCGACGTGGTTGAGCTGCTGTTGCTGCTGTTGTTGCTGCTGCTGTTGTTGCTGCTGCTGCTGTTGCTGCTGCTGCTGCTGTTGCTGCTGCTGCTGCTGTGCGGCGGCGGCTGCCGCCGCTGCTGCAGCCGCCGCCTCCTTAGCCGACAGGGCCACCGTCTTGACCCCGACGGGCGGCGGCGGCCCGGGGGAGCGGCCGTCCTGAAAACAGCCGTGCGCCCGCTTCAGCTGGCGCGCGGTCTCGATCACGAACTCGATGCGATCGGCGCCCTCGTAGTTGACGCAACCGCGGCATACGGGTTCCGAGAAGTCCCAGATCATGGCCCAGGGCATGCGGGGCAGGTCGCACAGGTAGCAAGACTGTCTCCGGGACGAGGACACCTGCGCCGCCGACATGATGCCGGCCCTGGGGAAGGTAGGCCCCCGCCCAGGCTGTCTCCGCGGCGCCTTCTCCTCCGGGAGGACTGGCAGGCTGGGGAGGGAGTCCGGCTGCGGTGGAGGAAGGGGGGGCGAGAAAGTTCTGCCCCAGGGGCTGGAGGGAGCGCGAGTCTCCACTGCCGGCGCAGCGCCTCTCCGCGGGGGCTCCACTGCCGGGGCGGCGGACGAGTTCAGCCCGCTCCTCGCCCCCACCTCCTACTGCGGCTGTGTCGTCGGGAGGGGAGCTCAGGCGCCTTCTTCCTGGTGCCGCGGACCCGGGCTGGAAGCTCCGGGCCCGAGGGGAGGGGGCGAGGGTGCCGGGTGCTGGCCGCCGTTGGCTCTTGGCCCCCTCCCCGGAGTGGCTGGTGCTTGGAAGCTCGAAAGGGGCTGTCTCTTCCTCTCCCCTGGGGCCCCCCTACGAGCTGCGTCCTCTCCCCGCCAGGCTCCCTGGGGCGAAGGCTAGAGGGTTCAGTGCCACCCGGTGCCCGGGTCCAATCTTGCTGAAGTCGCCGCTTCCCCGGAGGGCCGGGGGGTTGGGAGGGGGTGGCAGCCGAGAGGAGCTTCTCCCCTCCGCAGCGTCGGCCGTTCCGCTGGCGGCGGCTGGGTTTGCACGGCCGGAGGGAGCCGCCGCGGCCACTGCTTCCAGGACGCACGAGAGCAGAGGAGAGGAGCGCACGCACGCAGGCTCCCGCCGCCCCCAGGCCTGGCCGGCGCCCGGGCCGCCGCGGCTGGCGGCGCTCACGTTGGCTGCAGGGCGCTCGCGCGGCGCCTCGGCCCGGGTCGCATCCCTTCCCGCTCGCACTCGCCCGGAATGTGGGGTTGTGATTGTTACTCTACGTTCCGGAGGCGCGTCTCGGCGCTCCAGCTCGCGCTGCGGCTCGCGCTGTCCCCGGCTTGGCCGCGCGGGATGCCGCCCGGGCGGAGCGCTGACGTCACCGCCATGCTCTGCACCAGTTCTCCCCCCTCCCTCCCCTTTACACTTCCTCTGTCTGTGGAGCCCACTTGTTGCTCGGGAGAGGCGCATGCGCGGCAGGACGCCCAGATTCCTCCCAGTAGGCCCCGCCTCCGCGCCTCCGCCTTCCCCTCCCCCCTCGCCGAGTGTGTACAACAGCTGAAGCCTGGCGAGCTAATGCTGGACGTCCTGGCCCGGGCGGGGGGAGGGGAGGGTGGAAATTAAACAGACGATGACCTTTCCTTTCCCCGCCCGGCTTTCCCAAGTAAAAACGCATTTAAAAACCACAAGCGTCATTTCCGATCCCGCTCCCCACTCCACCCCGAGCAGTGCATTTAAATGTCCACTTTCAAGATTTTCGTTGCGAATTTCGTATAGGGTGTTACTCATTTCATCTGTAATCAAACCTCCCCCACCCACCCCCGATATGGATGTTGCATTCATTGCTACCACTGATGCCAAAGCACCTGCAAAATGAGCTATTTCCCATTGCCCAGAAACTGCCTTTTCGATTTGTTTTTGTGCTCTGGTGTAGGAACCTGAGTTTCAACGACAGAGCTAAATGAATTCAGGGTGAGCTACTCCTCCCCCCAGTCGCACTCTAAAATTTTTGGCTGAATGTCTAAAGAAGCTATGAGCACCCAGAGGCCTTTAAGGAAAACAGTCTACGGGCTGCGCACAGCTGCAGTTGGGGGTAGGGAGGAGGAAGGTCCTGGAGAGGCCGAACAGGTGACTGGTTTTTCCGGGTTTGATAAAAGAAGGTGGGGCAGCATTTAATGACATTGCTATCTCTTTGTAAAGCACGATGGCAGCTTTCAAAAATTCTCACGTGCTGTGATTTCATTCCACAGTGCCCCAGAAGGCTGAGCAAGGCCATACTTTCTCTAACGTTAGGGAACCACTGCTCATCATTATTGCTTATTGTGGAACAGATATGTTGGTCATAGCTGTAGTGACGGCAGTTCAACTGATTCTTCTATGTACTGGGTCTGCTTCCCCAACCACCCTGAAAATTGAGAGAATCCTGGGCAAGGCTGGAGGAGGAGAAGCAATAGAATGGCATTTCAGGTTCTGGAGTTTGGCGGACCAGGTTGGAATTTCTTCTCTATCACTTACTGGCTTTGTGACGTTGATGTAGTTACTTTCTTTCACGGACTCTCTCTCTTTTCCATCCGTGAAATGGGATCATAGCTCCCAACTTACTAGAATGGTTTGAGATTTCATTTTGTTTCTTGTCATAATAGGAGGTAACTCACTGAGGTTGCTGTGAGCCAGACACTGCTAGGTAATTTTCTTGCATCATGATTAAACTCTCAATATTATCTACAAGGTAGATTCTGTCGTGAACTCTAAGAGGTTAAATAACTTGCCCAAGGTCACACGGCCATTAGAGATGGAGCTGGGATCTGAATCCAGTAAATCTGGTTTGAGAAGTAGCTGTGACTAGCTCAGGTTCTCAAAGGTGGTTTGTAGTGCTCGAAATTTCCATCAGTCCCCCCATTCTTCTGTTACATACCCTCTCATGTAAAGTGCTATGCAAATACACGTTCAGAACCAACCCTTATCCTTCCCTTTCCAAACAGGTTGTGCCAGTGAGTTCTTACACATGCAGAAGTTTTGGATCCTCCACTACCACGGACTAAAACAAATACAGCGGGCGGGCGTGTTTGGAGCACTGTGTCAGCCCCCCAGGAATCCAGCAGTAAGTGTTGGTTATTATTAGTATTGCTATTAACGTGGGTACTATTGATAGTTAACATGTGACAGCCCTTTGTAAATTGTATAAAATATAAGGATCATTATTCTCATCACTACTGTTAACTACTCATTGTAATAAAGTTCAGTTGAAGAAACAAGAAGTCTTTTTTATTTTGACCCTTGACCTTCAGAGCCTGTTCTCCGGAGCATCCAGCAACTCCTCAGCACAAGGTTCTCCCACTCATTCTGGGGTCCTAGGTGCAGGGGAAGGGGAGTTTTAAGGATAGGGAGAAAGGGAGAAGGAAGAGCCCTGGGGAGCCCCTCTTTCATCTCAGAGCAGCCGGATTTCTGTTCCTGCAAAAAAAGTGAGCTCACTATGCACCCCCCAACAATAATGAGCTTTCTCTGGCTGACTAGCTCCCAGCAGTGATCGTTCTGTAAAGAGCTGCTCTGCAGCATTGCCTCACCCTTCCAAACTTCAGCCCTCCCCACACCCCAGCCACCCTAGAGTGAGTCAAAACACAGGGCTGGAAAATGTAGTGACATCCCTACCAGCCCATGGCTCCAGGCTCATTAGGTTCGGCTAGGCTGCTTCACCCATATCTTTACATTAATATTTATTCATTCTATCCCTTTATTAAACCAAAAATACTGAGGAACAGCAGCCTATTCCCAACCCTCTAGCCAGGCTGCTAGAGAAAGCACGTTGGGAGTCTATGTCACAGTGTTATGTTTGGTATGCGCGCACATATGTCTCCATCTCCCTGTCTGTCTCTGTCTTCGCTGTTACTAAAGGAGGGATATATATATACACACATACATGCCGGGTGTCTTCAGACACAGTGAGTTAGAAATAAACATGCATTTAAACAAACTTCCATTACAGTCTCATAATACTTTAATTTAAAAAGCATAGCTCTCTTGATTCCCTACCCCCGTCCAAGAATCACCATCGTTTATGGTGATCAGTTTTGTCCTCACTGCTTGTCTGAGATGGCCCGTGTTTGGGGATGTCAAGGACCATGAGAGGCAAGAACCAATGTTTTGGAGGTGGATTTTCCCCTGGAGGCGAATCCCATGTGACAGTGCTGTGTCCACAGTATGGGAAGGAAGGAAGTGGCGAGTGCTCAGCCTACTCAGCCAAAGGCATCTGGTGGAGAGACTCTTCTTTGCAGTGGGGTCTGGGAGACAAGCAAAACCAGAGGTTCAACCAGGCTCCAGGGGAAACGCCTGCAGTCCTCCCTAAATGTCCTTCCTAAGTTTGTGTCTCCCCTCAGCTTGCCATCTGAGCTGGCACCCTCAGAGAACCCGACCCCCACCCCCAAACTGGACCAAAAGGTCAGCTCTCCACTTGGCCTTTCCAGAGGCCACAGCCCAACCTTAAGGATGAGAAAGCCACACGCGGCGTGTCCACGCACTTCTTAGCTCCGTGCAGTCTCCCTTCTGATCCCCAAGCAGGTTTTTGGCAGAGATGGGTCGGGCTGGGGACTCTTCGGCCTGGCATCCCCGCAGCCAACTGGCTCGGCCTTCGAAGAGGCCCAGGCTGAACCTCGCGTCACCCCCGCTTGCAAAGCGGCAGGGCCAAGTGCTCTGGCAGGAGAAAGGCCTTTTTTGGTAACGCTGAGCCCGGCGGTTAAGCAGGACCCGGTGAAAACAAACGTCTGGGCTGGGCCCTCCTCCGGCCTCTCCAAGGGCCCCCATCCCCGCGAGCCAGGAACCACCCCCCCCCCACCCGACCCCGGAGCTCTAGGGGTGGGAGAATCGATCTGCGATCCGCAAGGTAATTTACACATTTACTCCTGGACGGGCTCTGTGGTGGAAGTATTGGCCTTTTCCTAAAGTATTAATTCTGGTATTTAAAGAAAAAAAAAAAAGTATTAACTTAGGCCAGGGCGTAGGGTTACGCAAGAGCCACTAGAGCGTGAAAGCTCAGGCACAGCGTGATTCGCTGAGAACCCCTGGGGAGGGGAGACTGCGCCGCCCGCCAGGACCTGCACAGACTGCGGCTCGCGGGCCACCGGGCGCTCTGAGCAAAACTGGGTGGAAGGAAAAGGAGGACGTAGTGGTTGGTGCTGGCACGGCGGCCACAGTGAGCGATCAGATCTCTGACTGCTTTCTTCCTGAAGGGGCGGGGAGCAGGGAAGGGAAGAAAGGCAGAGGCAGTCGCGTCTGGTTCCTGCCTCCTCCCTGCTTCCTCTTTGCCAGTGTGCCAGGGCACTGGGGGAGCCTAACGCTGTCCTCAGCAAAAGCTGGTGTGGTTTTTTTAGGTCCAAAAATAAAGAAGCCCTGGAATGAGCCTCCTAGGGACCTGGCCTAGAGGGGAAAAGAGGGGGAGCGCTAGACAAGGGTGCTATTCACTGACCAGGTTGAGTCAAAACAAACACCCGAACCCCAAGAAGGGGAGTAGCGGAGAAGGAGGGCTTGGAGCGGGAAGTAGGGAGGGGAGTTGTCAAGGTCACAGGTGCGCAGACCCTGGACCCTCCACCCTGCCACGTGTGCTCGTGGGCCTCCCCAGGGAGCCGGAGAGCCAGTGGGTTTCCACCCTCCCCGCACCAGGGCTGGGGATTTCCACCGCCCGGCTTTGGAAACCCGTCGCCGCCCTGGCTTTCCTGCTGGGGGCCGCCAGAAGGCGGGGCCTCAGAGCTGGAAGCCCTCCCTGAGGCCTCTGGGTCCCACGGTCAAGGTCAAGTCCGCTACTGACAGGCAGCCATCACTGCTGTCACGGGTTGGGGTGGATGGCCACTATCTGCAAATACGTTGACTTGCCTGAGCTGGGCAGTCAAACCCTAATTCGGGAGAGGGAGGAAAAGAAGGCGCTTACATTGCACATATTCACATTATATTGTTCAACTTGGACTTGGGTGACCCTAAATAGCTATCTGACCTCGAGCAAATCACTTGAACTTTGGTTTCTTACTTTGGTTTCTTAGTCTGTAAAATGGGAGTAATTGCACGGACTCCTTTGTCTGCCTCATTGGTCTGAGTGGAAAATACAGTATTATAATGTGCTTAATAAAATGCAGGAGATTATGAACAATAAAATGACCGACATTTGTCTAGGGCCCTGAAGTGCATTCCCAGACATTATCTCACCGATCCCCACACCAGTCCTGTGAGGTAGGTGTGACTTTCATCACCGTCCCATATAGGTGAGGAAAGCATGTCCAGAGCTAGTTCAGAGTTGCTGGAAACCAGGTTCTCTTGGCTTTAAACCCAGCATTCCTTACTCTCTCCCACCAGTTGCTAGCTGTTTGGGGGGCGGGCATGGGGAGAGTTCCCAGATGCCTCTAAGAAGCGGGAAGAAAGTAAAATGCCTCTCCCCACAGGACTTTGCAGGTGAAGAATGTCACTGCTGTCCCAACAGATGCAAAATTATGCACAAATT